TACACAACATACCAGAGCACATGTGAATGCTGTATTGTTTCAAAAGTTAAGATAAAGCTGACAAGGAAGAGTGTAACTATGTTAAATATTTGTAGTCTATAATTGTTTTCATATATTTTACCTTATGTTGATAAGTATGTTGAATAGAGTTAGATTAAAAAGTAGTGATATACAGTTAAGCTATGCTAAGCTAAACAGGATAATTGTGTGACTGGAAAAAATAGCTCGGTTTCTAGGCCACTGTAGCAAACTGTTTCCTGTCAACCAGACTGTTCCACCTTCTTCATCACTTACTTTTCATTCTCAGTGCTGAAACTTTTCCCAAGAACTAGAAGATCCTAATTGGCAGCTGCACATCAAGACATTGTCACAACAACACTACTTCATTATGCTGTTTACAACAGTTCTTAGGAGAGTTGGACTGAGAATGTTGAGCTCAGCAGACTCCCACTTCCACCAGGCATTTAGTAATTGCTGCTGCTGCTGCTAGTCTGGAGGAGATGAGTGGTAAACAGCTGCTCTGTGAGGTGAAAGCTCGACTGGGGCCTGTAACTCCAAGGAGGAGCTTTGTGCAAATAGTCAGCACTTTGTGTGAGCAACCATTTAACTTCAAAAATGTATCAAACATGCATGAAAAATCAAAGCAACATCCCAGGTATGTTTGTGATGACAAGATAATATTATACCATAATACAAAGATCAAAAATGTTGATTTTACCTAATACACTCCCCCTTTAAAAGTACTAAACAAATAATTACAAAAAACATAAGACTTTAACTAAATACAAATGAGAGATAACTATTGTTTGCAGCCCCTGAAAGAGCCTGGTATCCTTCATGTTTTATTCTTAATCTTAGAAAATGTAAAAACATGATAGCTGATCAAGTTATCTTTAAAAATGCGGATATTTAAAAGACCACAGCAATTTGTTTGAGCATTTGAATAGTTTATTCTTTCATGGCTTACAAATCTTGTTTTGTTTAAAAGAGACATATGTGTTTTACATGATGAATATAAATGCTGCATATCTGTCCTGACTGCATGTTTGTTGTCAACTCAGCGTAACTGTTGATAGACAAAACAATAAACCAGAACAGGATCATGATTTCAGAGCCTTAAATAAAGAGCATCATAAGGGCTGAAGACAGGAGCAGCAGGGTGACACCAGGTCCAGTTGGTACGGCACCGTTGCACAAGTCCTTGTCACAGCACTTTATGGGAGAAATGCATCCTGCGCTGGGCATGCAGCTCTTCGTAATCAGTCCTTTAAGAGCAAGAAAACTTCTCAATAGTATTGATAAATATGCTGTATAATGTCCATAAAGTTCTCATACAACAAGTTAAATCTTTTTGCAAGTGATCGATTCTATCAGCAGAGATTCTCATACATTTAACAGCTTACCAGGTATCTTCACAGAAGCACATCGGTCGAAACCATCAGGACAAGTTTCAATATTTGTGCAGGCACTGGGATCAGATGTTACACATGTGTAGCATCTCAATCCGGATGCTAAATGAAGAACCAAAAGAATTAAACATGATTATCAATAACAACAAAAACAAGGTAAGAACTTGACAGATGTGTGTCTTTCATATTAAACTCACAAGCCGCTTAAATACAAATTTTCAATTAAATAAAAAGAAAGTCTTAAAACCTTTAACAGTGAAAACATAAATTGTTTGTACTGTTGAACACAGGATTAAGACAGTCCCGTCCGAACTGTAAATACAGAACTCAATACATTAATGAATACATTTTTATACACATTTTTACAGAAATTAGTAAATCAATCAATCACTTGATTTACTGAAACAAGACTCAAAATTTGGTTTAAAATTTCAAAAAATATAAAATCCAGTTCAAATGTTTTGTAAACTAATAATGAGAGCTTTAAACAAATATATGACTTACAGCTTTGAATCAAGTCATAGAGAAACTCCTAAACTTTAGGAGAAAACCTGAAATGCTTATAAAACCTAATCTTTGTTTTATTTCCTCCTTTTTGTTAAATTCAAGAAATTCTTACCAACAGAAAATGTTACAAACAGGACAAGAACTCCGTAAAGCTTCATCATGAACGTAGGCTGTGCGAAGGAAAAACGTTTTCTCTCAGTCCTTTCTTCTTTCACTTCCTTTTCCTAAATAAACCCGCTCCACAGGGACCTGAATATAAAGAGCACTCGAATGACATCATGGCCCTCTTAAAGACCCACCTTTACTTTCAGTTCTGACTGGTGCTTATTCAGGATATTTGAATATGTCATTTAGAAAAAGAAACGTAAACATGTCAAAGTCAGTCACTGTATATTAACAGGTCTCTGTTAATATACAGAGAGTATTTCTTCCTTGGAAAGTTTAAGGCTTCTTAATGACCCTCACCTAAAAAAACATTACTGTCTGATATGGAAAAAATACAAGAACTGTCAATGTTAACAGGCTTCTACTATCTTTAACCTTGACCAAGAGCCTGGTACGGGGGGGGAGTGATGACAATTCTAGGGGCCCTGACCAACAGGAGGCCCTCCACAATTTATTTATTGTTCATAGAAATAAAATAAAATAAAAAATGGGGCCCTGTCAATTACAAAATTAATCACATTGTATTTTAGAAGATTGTTTTTAGCAGTAAAAATTTAATGTTGCCCCTCCCAGACCAAAAAACACACATCCATATTTGCCCTGAACCCCCCTGGATCTGTATGAAATGGTTCGTTCCTGCTTGGAGGCTTCAGAGTGACCCTGTTCAGCTGCAGTCAGCAGAAGACACACGACTGTGGCAAGAAAAGTTATAAAATCAGGTTTAAAAAAATAGAGAGGGAGAGAGCGAAAAAGGCAAGAGTGTTAATTTATAACCCAGTTTTTCTCCAAAAGAGGTGAGTAGACTGTGAGATTATCAACCATTTAGCATAGTTAGCTTAGGTACAGACTACTGTTTCACTAGCATTTAATGAAAACAATTACCAACATATTCATATATTTAACTTGTCCCTGTACCTTTTACCACTTAACAGACGAGTCAGTCAGCAGCAGCTCTAACCCAGGTCCCTCCTGATCTGCCCTTTCCTAAGTGAAATTAAAGCTGCAGTATGTCACTTTTATAATATGTATATTTTCACATTTTTTTTAAACTGTCATTATGTTGTGACAGTATGGTATGAGAGATAATTGTGAAAAAACTATTTCCTCTGCTTTCTCCCAGTGCTCTCTAAAAACAACCAATCAGTGGCAGTGTTAGTTTGCGACCAAAGACCAGACTGAACCCAGCAGTTTTAGAGCTCTCAACATTTTCTTTATCTCCAGCTTTGCACGCTCCAATCCATTTTACAGCATGTCAAACAAGAGGAGGGAGAATCTCCCTCTCATCTGAACCACTTTAAGGGATTGGCTCCCACCAGGACTAAGGGGTGGAGACATTTACAAACAAACATTTGTACTAAACTATATTCCTAAAAAACAGTTACAATTAACTCAAACATAGCTAAAAACAAAAACAATCTGGATCCAAACAGAATTAAAAATACATCTCTCCTCTCTCTCAGACAATGGATTTTCCCAATGAGGCTGATTGAAAACACCAGGTCCTTGTCAGTACTGCTTATGGGCGTGCTTCCATGGCAACACATGACCAGGTGACCTCAGAGAGGAGAACGTGATTAAAACAAATAAATCAAGTTACTTCCCTCAAACACAAAATACATTTACCAAATAAATTAGAATATATAAAGTACACAAAAAACAGCACCTGTTAGAGAGGGGGTAAGTCCCTCACAGGGTTTTTAGCCTTGATTTAAAGGAACTCGGTGTTTCAACAAGGCAGTTCAAAGAGCTTTACTTCATGAAAACATAAAAACATCAAACACATGCACTGAAACCAGTAACAGACATTACATTTTGTAAATCATTAAAATCATCAACACACATCAAATATGTCAATCAATGTTTCACTTATTATGGGTCAAAACGCCAACTGGGGGTTTTTAGTCTAGATTTAAAGAAACTCAGTGTTTCAGCTCTTTTGTAGTTTTCTGGAAGTTTGTTCTGGATTTGTGGAGCATAGAAGCTGGATGCTGCTTCTCCATGTTTGGTTCTGGTTCTGGGCATGAAAAGCAGACCCAGAACCAGGTTGATAGAACAACAGCAGATCTTTAATGTATTTTGGTGCTAAACCGTTCATTTATTTATAAATTAACTTCCTCTGAGCTACAGGGAATCAGTGTAGGGACAACAGCGCTGTTCAGAATAAAATTTTATGTAATCTAATCCTAATCTGTCTCCCAAGAAGAACATTCAAAAGTTCATCTGCTTGTTTGTCACTCATTCAATTTTTCCACGAGAAGTGGCACGGACTGGCAGACTTTTCAAGTTTACAATTATACATTTTACCGTAAAACATTTGTAACTACTTGTCCAGTAATGATCACTGCAAGTATGACTCAGAAGACTCAGTCACGCATAACGGGAAGGAAACAAAGACATAATGAATGAATAGATGAAAGTTGAGGAAAATTTCCATGATACAGGAATAGATATGTGCAATGTTCCAATTAGTTTGATTGAAATGAATGAGATTGTGACTGAAGGAGTTGTGACAAAAGAATACAGCTGAAACTGAGCAAGACAATACAACAGTTAGGGCAATTCAATGATTAACTTGATGTAGAGAAGAAACAATAATGAGTTGAAAAGAAACAATAATAAAACAAATGAGTAAGCAGAGAAAGGGGAATATGGGACAACCAGGAAACAAGAATGTGTGTCAAACATAACAAAAACCAGAGCCAGAAATCACAAACAGAGTAGAATCAGGAATTTATGATTCACAGTAAACAAGATAACAAGATTTAAGTCTCAAAACCTGAAACAGATGGGAAGAACATTTTTAAATTATTTTTTTTATAAAAGAGTCCTTTATTCTGTTGTTCCCAACCAATCAAAAAGCAGAAATTTAATTACATTCAGTTCTGAACAAAGCAAGTAAAATATTCTTATTTTCAGCAGCCAGCAGGGGGCGACATTGATCCTTTGATTGCGCACGAAAAAAAGCAGTAGAAAACTTGATCAGGGGTAATTAATATGTAAATTTAATTTCCTAACTCTGATGTTAGTGTTTTCCTCTTTCTAACGCGGCGCATGTGGCCCTCATAAACACCGCCACCGACTTTTACACGGAGATTATTACCAGAGCTTAACATCTAAGTCTGATGTCAAAAACAGCACAGTCCTGAAAAGTACGAGTTGTTTCTGAAGTCCCTCTTTGTTTTTCCTTCTTTGTTTCTTATCCTGACAACAATCTGAGCTCTGTAAAAATGTCTTCTTGTTACACAAAACGCAGAAACTAACCAAATGTAAGCAATGCTCTGCACCATTGTTGCACTTTTAGTTTGCTTTGTGACTTTGGACAACAGAAAGCACACTACCTGGTTAACTTAACCAACCTATAGCCTAGGGCTGTAATAAGATGTGTATTACATCTAAAGCACATCTCTATAGTTGTTGCTACCATTTAGCAAACTTCTGGAATATTTCTGGCTGAATAACTAACCATTCATGAGAGATAATGTAGCTTTAAAGTGGCTGATTTCATCGTCTGCACATTTTCATCAGGTCTATGTAGGGATTTCCTTCCAAACTAGTCTTAAATTGTTAGGGGTTTTTTTCCTATATGAACATCCGGTTATGTTCAAATTTCACTTGTCTCAAAATTAATTTAGCTTACATCCATCCATCCATCCATTTTCTGAACACCCTTGTCCCTCAGTGGGGTCGGGAGGGGTGCTGGTGCCTATCTCCAGCTAACGTTCCGGGCGAGAGGCGGGGTACATCCTGGACAGGTCGCCAGTCTGTCGCAGTAATTTAGCTTACAAGTTACATAAAATATAAAAATGCATTATAAAGTCAAACTTGTGTTTCAAATTCTTGATTTGTAAAACCACTGAACCACTTTTTTTCTCAAAATATTTTATTAAAACAGAAATGTGTTGACATACATGTTTATAATGACAAGAACAATAAATTACTTTTAACATGTGATACTCAAAGGATGTATATAAACATAAAAATGTATTCAAAAACTGTACATAAATATTAATTTAGCGCATCACAATCGCAGAACAAAATAAGTTTGAACAGTTCAGCTTTGTAAATCAGTATGCAGTTTATGGTACAAAATATTCATATAAAACTAATAATCATAAAATATGCTTGCTGGGATCAACCCAGCTGTCTTGTGTTATAAAAAAAAAAAAAAGAGACTGGGAACGATTTCCGCTCTGATGATGGGATCGAGGATCTCCTGCTTTTTGCCTCTGTGTTGTCATCTGCCGCAAAGAAACTAAAATCAGAAAAAATCTGCACAAATATGCAGAATCTGAACCAGCAGATAATTCATGGGGTTTGGTTGCAGGTCTGGGACCTCAAGGGCAAACAATATTTTAAGTTGTCCTATAAATGCCGTCAATAAATCCTCTTTGAGAGAAGCTATGAGTAACTAATAAAAGTGTTTCAGATCTGTCAGCAGTTCCTAATTTATTCCAGTAAAGCTACAATAAAGTAAAGAGAAGCTTATAAATTTCCTTCTTATTGTTCTTAGATTCACTGAGTAGGCAGGGAAGAAACTTTGTCATCAGGAAACAACAGAAAACGTCAGGATTAATAAACAACGGCCCCCCAGAGAGAGGACTAAACACTTTTTAAACAGTCCGATCGTAACAGAGAAGACTAGAAACATTGAGGATATGGAGCTACGTTAAACTCCACAAAACCCTCCGGCGTGTTTCCGTCCTGCAGACTTCAAACCTCCATCCGTTGTCAAAACAGAGCGCCGTGGATTTCTCCATCTATCATCGAGACAAACCGCTCGTCCACTGAGTTTATGAGTGGTTTAACGAGACATTTGTTTGCAGTTTCTCCAACTTTAGACCGGGTTTGCTTTAACTTTGCTGTTGATCCAGTCGACGTAATGGGTGACGCGCGTGTAGACCCCGGGCTTCTCCTTTTGTCCGCACCCGTCGCCCCAGCTGATCACGCCCATCAGAGTCATCCGGTCCTTGGTTCGACACACCAGAGGGCCACCAGAGTCTCCCTGTGGGGGAAATTAGAAAAAATCCACATGAATAAATTAAACTTCTTTGATTTAATTACATAAATAAACACACGGTGGTTTATAGTTGTGAAACAGAAGGGTAATGAAACTTTTAAACGACTTTTACAAACAAAAATAAACTATTTTGCTTGTATTTTATAGTCAGTCCACATTACTCAGATACACTTTAAACAATACAAGCATATTCATGTGTTATAAGGGGCTAGTCAAAGTAAATTCAATGAAGAATTTCTTACGGGACTTTAAAATGGTTGTCCAACTTTTTTTTTGAGTTTTTAAATTTCCAGCGATGGGAAAAAAAATTTGTGTAGTTGTTCAAAAAGTCCATTAGATGACACTTTTCAGATTCTAGGTCTAGAACTTCATCGTCATTGTTCAATAAGAAACCAATCAGAAACCAGATCATTCAAATTTATTGGTTTAAACCACATGTCAAACTCAAGGCCCGCACGCCACATCTGGTCCGCCATGAAGTTTTATGTGGCCCACAGGGACACGAAAATAGAACCTTGAAAATAACCGCTGTATGCTTGACTAATACTTTATCAATCAACTGAAAGCAGTTTTCAATAGAGAGGATTGGGGCCACATAAAAAAAAGTCTGATTTTTTTTTGCAGTTTTGACTTTTTTGTTCAGAATTTTGACTTATTAAAGTCAGAATTATTCTGACTTTAATCTTCTGAGATCAAAAGTCAAAATTATGAGAAAAAAGTCAGAATTGTTAGTATTTTTCTCAGAATTTTGGCTTTTGATCTCAGAAGATTAAAGACAGAATTCTTAATTTTTTTTTCAGTGGCCACAATCTTCTCCTGTAGTTTTTACAGGTATTCTGCCAACTTACATCAATGTGAAATGATGTTCAGTATTAATTAACTTTCAGGAGAAGTACACATTTAGTGCAGAGACGACTATTTATTCAAATTTCAGAGGTTTATTAATGGATTTTATCAACACGTTTCACAACAACCGGCCCTTTGAGGACATTCACAATCTTGATGTGGCCCAAAATGAAAATAAGTTTGACACAGTTGGCTTTAACCCAAAAATCTAACATGTCCTTTCCAGTCTGAAACGTGATGCACTGAACTGTGAAAAACTTGAAGGGGCATAATTTGTCTGTAAGGCTGAACTGAGCCGTTCTGACCTTGCAGGCGTCGTCGAGCCCTCGGGTGTCGCCTGCACACAGCATGTTGGAGGTGATGGTCCGTCCAGACAGGATCTCTGGAACGCAGCGCTCTTTGGGCCACAGCCGCACGTGTCCACGTTTAACACGCTCCGAGTACTCATCAGAAACTGAAAGAATCAAATACAAATACCTGGAATTACTCAACAATCCTATATGAATATTTCCACAAAGCCACTAAGTGCGTTTTCTTACATTCTGAGTTTTTTCCGTAGCCTGAGATCTCGCACTCAGTCCAGTCGAGCAGCACCAGCCCGCGTTCAGGCAGACAAACTGGATGAACCTCTGGAGAGTTCACAGCACATAAGCCGATGTCCGTCTGAAGCTTCAAAATAGCTGCCAGAGGAAAGTGACCAGAGGAAAGTCAGGCTAACGTTCAGGGAAGATGTGGGATGTTTTAAAGTTTTACAAGCCTTCACAGCCCACTTAAAGCTTTCCATATCATCATCACTGAGGAAAAACACTTCAGTTTGAGTCTCCCATTCTGCTTTTATTGTGAGCTTTACAGCTTGGTGAAACTCTGTACCCTTCAACTGTTGAGGTAAACAAATCTTAAAAAAAGCTAGTGTGTAGTTAAAGTCTACTCACCAATGTCGTTGTCAAATGTTTCATTGTTAAACTTCTCATGGATCCAGTACTTCTCAACTTTGAAAATCTGCTCACTGCTGGAGTTCTGCTTCCGGAAAGTTCTTCCCAAAATAACTTCCAGCTTGTCAGCTTTTTCACTGAAAAACAATGGTAACCTTCTGACATGCTGCAGAAAAAAAATCCTTTTTGTGTTGTTTTTTTTTTATTAGCATGTGTGCAAACAGGTGAACTGGAGGACATACTTGATTTCGAAGCAATGTGCTGCAGACAGAACCCAGCAGGAGTCGATGAGGATTCCTCCACAGCGGTAGAAGTGTCTCCTGTGGCGGGCCTGGTAAACGTTGATGATGGCCTGCCACGGCTGCTCCGTGATGTCGCTGTATCTGCCTCCGACCATGCGGAAAGCTGGGCGATTCAAGGTGTTGTCCAGGCGCTGGCCGCAGGTTGCTGCAGAGAGTCAGCATGAAGTTTAAATGAAAATAACATAAAATCCACTGAGGATTCATTCAAGTTGTCTTAAAGTACCTCCGTTGTTGTTATTGGTGGTGGGAGAACGAATGCCAGGAGTGGTGATGACGGATGGATGTGTCACTACAATACAGAAGAAAAAAAAAAACCATACTTAGTACAGGTGTAAAAAGCCATTAAAATTATTTTCTCTTCTACTGCAGGAAAATAACATTCAGAAGAATCCAGGCTTTGCTCCGAGTCCAACACTTTGATAATATAAATGTTACTGAAACATTTTTAAAGGTGGCATATTATGCTTCCTTCAACAGATGAGGAAAACACGTTCATTGCATTTTTGCACAAAACCATTCTTAGATAATGAGATTTTTGTTTGCTCAGTTCCATTTACATTCGCATGTAAAAATGGCTGCAAACACATTTGCAATTATATAATTGTACATCATTGAAAAGCATAAGTGGAGCCTCCCGCACAACCAAGAAGGACGCAGTAAGTGGTTTCTAGATGAAAATCAACAGCAAAACACTTGTCTTTTTGAGCAGCTATTTTACAGGGCATACAGTGGTAAAACCAGCTGACCAAATGTGCTGGAGCTTTGCTGGGATTAGTAGGTGACGGGGGCATTACCTGTTGATTTATGACATCTGTTTGCTATTTTCTCCACTGTTTTTCCCATGAGAGCTTTAATAAATATAAGTATATATATGATTAAAAATTGCTGCGTACAGTTTTAGTGATACAAATTACACTTTTTTAAAGTAATTTATATTCAAATGGGAATATTTTTCAAGAACAATATTCATGTTTGTGGTGATATGAATGCTGTGTCATGCAGTCACAGCCATACAGCTCCCTAAGAATAAGTCATAAATAGTTTTTAAAATCATAATCTTTACTGTTATTATAATAGTACCACAAAATATTGCGATAACATTCTAAGTCCACATCGCCCACCCCTAGTTTCTCTACACAACGTTTCTTCCCTCGTTAATAAACATTTTTACCAGGGGACTAGCGTTTGTGGGCAGTGCTGTTGTAAATTAAAAGCTTAAATGAAAAAGAGTCATGAAATTCACTCACAGCATTTGGGTATGTCACAAAGCTCCCAGGTCAGCTGCATGTTTTTGTAGGTGTGACACCAAGGAGCCGCATCATTATCTGGGTTCCTGTTAAGAAAACAAGAAAAAAAACAAAAAAAAGAGAGTTACAATCATTTGTCCACACATCACAGGGTAAAAACAAAACTAAAGCGTGATTTTTACCTGCAGAAATTGTGGTTGCTGAGCCCCAGGTCCAAGGCGTTCGATCTCCAGGCATTGTTCACCTTACGTCTGATAGCAGGAGAGTCCCACGGCAGACACATGGAGCCGCTCTTAGTGACAGAAGCCGTGCCTCTATAAGTCTGACCTGAGCCAACCACGCACTCTCTGTTCTTATCTGCTCAAACATACACAAGAAATGTGTTATTGGCAAGCTTCCTACATTTTGTTTCTATCATTTTGGTGTTTTTTTGTTGCTTTACCTTCAGGACATTTGGGCACAGAGCAGAACTCCCAGGCTATCTGTGTGCCTTTATAGACGTAACACCATGGTGAGCTATCGTGGTCAGGATTCCTGAGGTAAAAAATAGATAATTTTAAGGGTTTAAACATCTCATAGTTATAGAAAACATTCTTTTTTATGGATTTTTATCAAATATCAATGATTGATGGCTTTGCAGCAGAATTGTTTCCAGTTGTTTGTGAGTTACTTTCACATTTAAGAACTTCTGCTCAACCCAAACGTGTTGTGCTCTTGTGAAAAAGTCCTGGTTTCCTATTTTGTTGCATTTTTTCACGCTTAAGTATTTCTGAAGGTCAGACCAAATTAAATATTAATCAAAGAAAGCAGAAGTTATATATATATATATATATATATATATATATATATATGAAAATGTCTGAACAAAAAACAACAATAACTACAAATCCCTCTTCCAAATAAAAAGTTAAAAACCAACGTTTACAAAGAATTAGTCCAATCCTTAACCTAAGTCAAACAAATATGATAAATTACAAGCTACCAAACTCTGCTTAATAGTTCAACTCAAAATTCAAATTGTGACTATGAGTTGCATTTTTATGTAAAAAGTGTAATTACTTTTTGAGAAATAATTTCCTTTCTGATATCAATTCCATCAAATTATTAAAACCAAACAGAGAAAATGGTTTGTTTTCTGCTGATTTGTAATTGGATTTATGGAACTGCAAGAAATTTTGCACTTGTCATTTTCAGCAACGGTTCTGGTTGTGGTTTACCTGCAGAAGTTGTGATTGCCCAACCCAAGGCTGTTGGCGTCTAATTTTTGAGCTGTGAACCTTCTTCCTCTGAGAGAAGTTGAGTTCCAGTTGATGCACGCAGCTCCGGTCTGACTGATGCTCCAGGTCCCGCGGTATCCTTCGCCCTGACCCACAGCACATTTCTCATTGGTGTCTGATGGACAAAGAAATACAGTCACTAAAATTCATTTGACAGAGTTTAGATTAGCAGTGACCCGGCAATTAAGCTCCTACTCTACTCCGCTCGCAATCAATACTCCGTCTCATAGCAAAAAACGTCCAATTTCGAACGGAGCACTGCGCATGTGCCGCGGCCATATTAGTTTCGGACAATCATTAGCGGTAAAGCTACATCTCCGTCCAGTTGATGGCTATAATACACCAAGTTTGTAAACCGCCAGAAAACGCTATAGAAGAAGAAGAAGAAGAAGAAGGAGCAGAGAAGCCTAGGTAGTGGATAACAAATCAACAGAATTAAGGTAACAAAACGCTGCTTCTTTTAACTCAGTCTGGGTTTTTCCCGATTTCTTTGATTCCCTGATGTACAATTCAAACGCGCCAACCAATCAGCGAACAGAAGGAGAAGTTGTGAACAATGACGACATTTTTCTGCCCTGTTTTATATTGTAGTCTGCCTGTAGTTTTAGCAATGACAGCAGAGGAAGTAAACGAAACCACGCTTCTAACCACTGAATTAACATTAACAACCATCTCGTTCAGCTTCTCTCTAATGAGTGGAGGATGATTGTTTACAATGCGAGTAATTTCCGGT